GTCGTCCAGCCGTCGTCTTTGCAAAGGTGTGGAAATGGCCGCTGCACCTCCAGTTCAGGTAGGGGAGATGAGCGGGGGGCGGGCAGCCTGGGTCTCCCTTTCTTTCTCGGGGGGGGCCTTTTGCTCCTTCAGTTGCTACTAAGGTGTCCGAGGGGAAGAGGCACCGAACGCCACTCCGGTTTCCCCTGTCAAGCTCTCCTTCCTGTACCCTCCCAGAATGCACTGTTCCAGTGTGCTGTCTCTGCCTGGGGTGGTCTGACAAGGAAATCTGTTTTTTTCTTTCAGTGCCCATTTTCCTTTGAGGAGGTGGCCGTGTACTTCACCGAGGCGGAGTGGGCCCTGCTGGATCCGGGCCAAATTGCTCTGTACAAGGAAGTCATGCTGGAGAACTATAGGAGCGTGGCCTTTCTGGGTAAGTATCTTCGATAGGTGCCAAAGGTGCAAATTGCTGCCATTGGGATAAGGCATGAATCATCTCTTTTGTTAGTTACAATCATAGATCAATCACGATTGACACTCATCGTTATCTGCACATTTGCAAACAATAAAATTTCCAGGCAGCCTGGCAGGCTGATTTCAATAGTAGAGACAATTAGTAAGAAGACTTGACCAGCTGCTTCCTTGTTGATCTTGCGAGGGGCAAAATTTGGCCACCTTAGAGGTGATTTTGTTAGAACAATATGAAAGGGGGGAGGGAGATATTATTAAATTCATCAGACCTGCCTGGAAAATTTAATAGAATTGGAGTTATTAAAAACAGTAATCAGATGGGAATAGTATAAAAACACAAACAAGAGAAAGTGAATAAAATTAATAACATAAAATAATGTTAATAAGAGAATCATACAATTTTTTCAGCTAAAATAAGTTTATGTTTCCTAGTAGCTAAGCAACAAAATTTTGCCACAGCGTGAGTCACTGAGCTCTGAACAACTTCTAAGAGGAATTTACAAAGGACTTCTGGGCCCAAAGTCAAGATAAGACTGCAGAGGGCTAAATCTAGACAGAAGGGGTAGTAGAAGATGGTCTCGTTCCTCCTGATAGAATCTGCAGAACAGGAGGACATGAGTAATTGATTCCACCATATTAGCCATGCGTGGCCATATACGTTCATGCATTGGGACTCTAGTGAATTTACCTTGCAGTACAGCGGAAGGGAGTGCCTCAAAGTGGGCTCTGGAAAAGGTAGTTCAGCAGTTCAAGACCCGGGTGCCGCAAGACGGGGTGAGCTCCTGTCTCTAGTTCCAGCTCCTGCCAGCCTAGCAGTTCGAAAGCAAGAAATTGCAAGTAGATAAATAGGTACCACTTCGGTGGGAAGGTAACAGCGTTCCGTGCGCCTTGGTGTTTAGTCATGCCGGCCACATGACCACGGAAACGTCTTCGGACAGCGCTGGCTCTTCGGCTTTGAAACGGAGATGAGCACCGCAACCCTAGTGTCGGATTCGACTGGCTTTCGAGCAAGGGAACCTTTACCTTTACCTTTATAGGGCTCATAGGTAATGTTAACTAAATAAGGGGCAACAGTAAAATTAGGCCAAGATTTTATATTTCTGTAGTTCTTGGGTAGCGAGGCTTCTTTATTTTGTGATTCAATATCAGGAAGCCTCTGCGCGACAGCTGTTCTTGCCTCGTATAGGCTTCCATAGAAGAGACCTTCTGGGAATAGGCCAATCTGATTTAACTTATTAAGAATTTGTGTGGACCAGGCAGGGTAAGGGTCCAAGGCTAAAAGGTAAGGTATTAAACCCTTCAGGTTGTAATGAATTTTTAGCCAGGATGTTACAGCCTGCTCCCAGACCTATCTATGTGCGATTTTAAGAGCTCAGCAACTATAAAGTCACCTCCTGGTGCTTTTCCAGATTTCAATCGTGATATTAACAAGGTAGTTTCAGATACGGAGACTGGAGGCCATTGTGTGGACTGATCTAGAAAAATATCAGGAGGAGCAAGATACTGCTGAACGTGAATACATCGTTTTCAGGCCTGCCCTACTACTTGTCCCCTGTTGGGGGTCTCGAGGACCTGGAATGGCAGTGAAAGTGGTGTTCACCATGGCCTGGGAGAGTGACCCAAACCACTTGGCTTGCCAGGGGCAACTGAAGCCAGTGTTGTGGCCATCACCCGAGCCAGAGGGGTGTGTGTGTCTTGGCCTGAGGCCCTCGGAAAGACTCCGAAAGGAGCCAGATCCTAATTCTCAGTTGCCAACCTTTACAACACACCCTCCCCCCGAATGGGGTTGCAGACATCTGTTGTGACCAATGTTCCCTCTAAGCCGTGGAGTCTCATGAGCAAAAATTCTCCTTTGTGAGCTACTGGCATTAAAGTTGTGAGCGAGCAATTTGGCTACTGCATAAAGTAGTTTGCTCTGGAGCCATCCTTCCTGAGCTAAGACAAAAATGTCTGAGCCAGAGGCTAAAAAACTGTGAGCTAGCTCACACTAACTCAGCTCAGAGGGAACACTGGTTGTGACTGAGATCTGGAACGGATCTGTCCCCCTTACACTGCCTGGGATGGTGGACTTTGATCTTGATCATGTCTCCATCCTTCCAGAAGAAGTTTTCTTGTTTTCATGGATTTCTTTCTTTCCCCATGTAACAATGATCACCCAGTTTGGCGTAGTGGTTAAGTCCGTGGACTCTAATCTGGGAGAACCAGGTTTGATTTCCCTACTCCTCCGCTTGCAGCTGTTGGATGACCTTGGGCAAGCCATAGTTCTGTCAGAGATGTCCTGGAAAGATCAGTTCTGGAAAGAGCTCTCTCAGCCTCACCTACCTCATAGGGTGTCTGTTGTGGGGAGGGGAAGGGAAAGGAGTTTGTAAGCCACTCTGAGACTCTGAGTGAAGGGCGGGGCATAAATCCAATCTCCTCCTCCTCCCTCTTCCAAGGAAGCCAGGAATGTAAGAGAGACAAGGGTGGAGACAGACAAAAGCCTTGCATCTGAAGAAAGGCCGGAGAGTTTCTCGAGAGGATCTCAAGAGGGTATTTCCTCCCCAGATGAGCTGGCTGAGAGTGAGTATCCTTCACGGTTATGTCGAGGGAATGAGCAAGGAATAGATATGGAGGATTTCTGGCTTCACTTCTTTAGCAACTCTTACTTTGGTAGGATTATAATGCCCGCTGGGTAAGGAGGGAGGGAGGCCTTTTGGGGCCTGGGATCTGGAGGCTCAGAAACTCCTTCTGGGGCTGAGCTCAGCTGTGGCATAAGGATCTACACAGCGGTACTGAAGTTAAGCAGTGGCAGTCATTTTCTGGCTAGGTGTGCTTCCTGCAACGGCCATTTTGTTCCTGCACCCACCGTGTGGTGTCAAAAATCCACATGCACCTGTAGGCTTAAAACGTTTGGGGACCCCTGAGCTAGATACCCTCTGGCCTTCCTCCCCCAACAACTGGCATACTTACCAAAAATCATGGGGTCCGCTTTGAACTGTGGGATTCAATTCGTGAGCTCCTGGCTCCTCCCACCATGACCACAGCAAACATGGATTTTGGGAAGGCTGAAAACCAGCTTCTCATGGCTGCCACCAGACCAGGAAGGAAACTCTCTGAATAGTGGCTGGGCTACATATGATGGTACCTTCTTGTACTTAATCATCTGAAGATCTGCCACAGCGAGCAACGCTCCCTCTAGGCTGTGTGGAGTCTTGTGAGCAACAATTCTACTTTTGTGAGCTACCGGCATTAACGTTGTAAACGAGTGATTTGGCTGCTGCGTCAATTAGTTTGCTCTGGAGCCATCCTTCCTGAGCTAAGACAAAAATGTGTGAGCCGGAGGCTAAAAAACTGTGAGCTAGCTCACTCTAACTCAGCTTAGAGGGAACACTGATGGCAAGTTCAATGCGACGGGTGGGGGGGACGAATCTTTGCCACTTTGGTGTAGTGGTGAAGTGTGTGGACTCTAATCTGGGAGAACCGGGTTTGATTCCCCACTCCTCCCCTTGCACCTGCTGGATGGCCTTGGGCAAGCCGTAGTTCTGATAAGAGCTGTTCTTGAACAAGAGCAGTTTCTGTCAGAGCTCTCTCAGCCCCGCCTCCCTCACAGGGTGTCTGTTGTGGGGAGGGGAAGGGAAAGGAGTTTGTAAGCTGCTCTGAGACTCCTTTGGGTAGTGAAGGTCAGAGTATAAATCCAGTCTCTTCTTCAAATACATATTAGGGTGTTTTAGGGAGGGAAGGGGTAGTCAGAATATAAAACAGCACCACTGAAAGGCTCCGACCAGGGAAAAGTTGTGATCAGCGGATCAGGTTGACTGGAAGGGGGGGGGGAGAGAAACTCTGACAGAGGAAACAAAAGGCATACCTATCAGTCAAGAGGGCCTGATTAGTAGCTTGGCTTCTTGCATGAGTGCTGATTCGATCTCTCCTTTATTCCAGCGGAAGATATCAAGGAGACGGTTGAGGAATTCCAGGAGTTCTTATTGCAAAGAGATGCAGAGGAAGAGTCTGAATGTAGCTTCAGGGATCGAGATGGACCAGAGAGGCAGGAGGGAAGCCATGGTGAAGAGACAAGGGGAAAACCCCTGCCTTGCCAAGGAGGGGATTTCCATGAAGTAATGCACACAGTGGAGGAAAGACATATATGTTTGGACTGGGGACTGAATTTCTCAGATCGTACTCAGTATGAGGTCGATCTGCAAAAGCAACCTACAGAGAAGGCCCATAATTGCTTGCAGTGTGGAAAGAGCTTCGTTTCTGGCGAAGAGCTCATGAAACACCAGAGAATCCATATAGGAGAGAAACTGTACTGCTGCTCGGACTGTGACGAGAGGTTCTCAGAGAAATCAAACTTTATTCAACACCAGAGTTCCCACCATTCAGGAGGAGAGCCCTTTCTCTGCTCAGAGAGTAGGAAGAGTTTATTTGATGGGAAGGCACATAAATGCCTTCTCTGTGGAAAGTGTTTCAAGTACAGATCACATCTCTATTTTCACCAAGCAATCCACGCAGAGGATAAACCTTTTGAGTGCCCAGAGTGTGGAAAGAGATTCATTAGGAGTGGCCATCTTCAACTGCATCAAATAAGCCACACAAGGGAGAAACCTTTTGAATGCTCAGAGTGTGGAAAGAGATTCATTAGGAGTGGCCATCTTCAACTGCATCAAATAAGCCACACAAGGGAGAAACCTTTTGAATGCTCAGAGTGTGGAAAGAAATACACTTACAGAGGCAGTTTTCAGCTGCATCAAAGAATCCACACAGGAAAGAAGCCTTTTGAATGCTCAGAGTGTGGAAAGAGATTCAGTAGGAGTTGCAGACTTCAACAGCATCAGAGAACCCACACAGGGGAGAAGCCTTTTGAATGCTCAGAGTGTGGAAAGAGATTCAGTCAGAAGGGGAATCTTCAGCTGCACCAAAGGACCCACACAGGGGAGATACCTTTTGAATGCTCAGAGTGTGGAAAGAGATTCAATTGCGGTGCCAGTCTTCAACGGCATAGAAGAACCCACACAGGGGAGAAACCTTTTGAATGCTCAGAGTGTGGAAAGAGATTCAGTTGGAGTGCCAGCCTTCGACTGCACAGAAGAACCCACACAGGGGAGAAACCTTTTGAATGCTCAGAATGTGGAAAGAGATTCACTCAGAGTGGCACTCTTCAGGATCATCAAAGAACCCACACAGGGGAGAAACCATTTGAATGCTCAGAGTGTGGAAAGAGATTCCGTCAGAGCAGCAGTTTTCGTCTGCATAGAAGAACCCACACAGGGGAGAAACCTTATGAATGCTCAGAGTGTGGTAGGAGATTCAGTACAAGTGGGAGTGTTCAGTTGCACCGAAGAACCCACACAAGGAGAGACCTGTTGAATGGTCAGAGTGTGGAATGAGATTTAGTACAAGGAGGAATCTTCAACTGCACCAAAGAACCCACAATGGGGAGAAACCTTTGAAAGCTCAGAGTTTAGAAAATATTTCATTTGGAGTTTGACTCCTCAACAGCATCAAAGAAACCAAAAGGGGGGCAGGGTGTCACCATGAAAGATGTCTGATGCTTAATTTTGGTGCTCCTCTCCCTTCTCTAACCCTGGCAACATTAAAGCTAAGGAAAACAGACAAAATCGATTGTAAAGTATGAAAACATATCAAGTAATGAAAAATCAACCCATTAGCCAATGTTCTCATCCGGCCCACACCTTTTTCAAGGCAAAAGAAGACTGCGCTTGCTTTGTGGCCTCAGACGCTGGAATAACCAACATGGCAGATGCGCATATGGATGCCCAGCAATTGCTAAACCCTCTCGCCGCACAGCACCTTACGCTCTCTCTCCACGATCTTCAAAGAGAAATCTTGGATAAAATCTCCACATTACTCCCTCTGCAGAAAGAACAATTGGACAAAATAGAATTAGTGCTACAAAAACCTTGCAAATGGCAGAAACGGCCATACAAAGTGGTCTCTCTCGTCAGGATGATCTCTCCGAACTTCAGACAGGAACTATAAGATGATAATCCTTGGAAGCCTGATTAAACAAAATAACCTGAAATTTAGGGGTCTGGAAGAAGACGCAGAGGGCTCAATGGACTTGGCAAGCTTCCTCTCAGGTTGGCTCTCATCGGTGATACAACTGGAAGAGGGCCTAGCGCCATTGATCACCAAGGCTTTTAGAGCTGGCCTTCCTAACAACCTGAAACAAAGGGCCAATGGATATAAATGTCTCCTTCACAGACTGGCGAACAAACACATTCAAGAGGCAGCAAGGGTAAAAGGCCATTTCTTACTCAAAGACAAAGAGATCTCCAGAGAAATCCGAAACCAATAACACTCAAACTACAAACAGCAAACATCTGGTACAAGTGGATGTCCTCTGGAAAACTCCAAGTCAGTCATCATGGCCGGACTCTTTCTGCTTTTGACGAAAACACTGGTCTTGATCTCCTGTACGAGCTACAGCTGGACGGCGATCAAGACCAGGGCCACAATAGTATAAAAGAAAACTCCAATTTTTAGCACCACCTCCAAAGGAATGCAAGCTACCAATCCGTATTTCTAACTGATCTCTGTAGATGTTGAATAGCTCTGATTGAGAGTAAGACTGATCTATAAACCTTTCAATTTGTAAGTCTGTTTTCCATTCATATGCACAATGATTAGGCATCAATGGGGGAGGGGAGGGAGAATCCAATGTTAGATACCTCCTTTATAAAAAAAGATTCTATTTGGAAGCAATTTTGTTGCTTTCCTTCCCAGAACCTAAAGTTTGACATCTGGGATCCATAAAGAATCCACAAAACTTTGTTCATCCTTTACACAATAAGTATCTCGTTAATAACTGATTTAAACTTTTTGTAGTGAATTCATATTGATAGAGTTTGCCTGTATTAAAGCTATTCAAAGTGATTACAGTTTGATTGGGGATGAGGGGAGAAGAGGGGGTATTGTTACAGTTTGAGTTTGTGATTTGATAGGCTATATTATTCACACCTTTTATAAGTTTTTCAAGTTCTCAATGTTTATTGAATATCTAAGGTCACTGCATTTGACAGAGATTGAAGGAGGGGAGGGGGGAGAAGTTTGGTAGTTTGTTGTTAAAAATAGGTAGTTACAGATGTTATTGTACTTGATCCCACCACCACAAAACTCTACACATCAATCAATACAAGTTAAAACAATTAACATTAAATTTAATACCTCAGTGAAATAATCTTAGATTAGTGAATATTAAAGGTCTAACAACATTTCTTAAGGTGTAAAGTGTTATTTTTCTATTCAATCTTTGTCTAAATCCTAAAAGAAAAAGTCAGATTTATTTGAATTATTATTAGTAGCAGTTGTATTTTGACTGTTTTTCTTAGTTGTCAGTTTTGTATCTCCCCTTGATCGGATCTCAAACCATTCATTATGTCTAACTCTATTAAAATTGTATCTGTTAAATATCAGAGGACATAACCACAAAATAAAGCAATGTGAGATGAGTGTGGCCAAATATCTTGTTCTAACCAGAAACAGATATTAAATCTTTGACCCTCCTACTAAGAAACAGATATTAAATCTTTGACCCTCCTACTACTCAAAACACCATGGTTTCCAACCCAGTTTCAAGCCCCAGGTACGTCAAAAGCCCAGGTTGTGGCCATCCTTATTTCCAAATCAACCTGCTTTACCTTGGAAGCCTGTCAGCAAGCTGCCATGGTGTTCTGTGTTGCTGGTACTTCTGTACAGTTGCTACCCCCCCCCCCTTTGCCTGTGTGCTAGTATTTTACTCTGCTGTGATGCCTAAGCCAAACAACTGGAGGACGTACTGGGGGAGTTCGCTTCATTGCCAGCTTGTTGCTTTTAGAGCCTGAGAACTGCACCTGTGTTATGTCTGGAGATAGCCTGGTTCTCAGGGAATGAGCGCGCAACCGTTTCCTTTCACCCCTCTTCCTTCCTATCGTCCCGAATCTGACGTGGTCATGAGCGGGGCAGAGGGAACCCTACCTACGACGGAGGGGGACACGGGATCGGTCCCTACAACCTCCACAGCATTGATCACCACGACCACAGTACCCACGTCGGGTGCGGTGGGGGGAGCGATTCCCCGGCTACCTGTGTACCTGTCTTGGCCGCCACCAACACCTTCGCGATGGGGCCCGCGGACGGTACCGGTGCAGGATGATTGGACTTTGTACAATGCCAAAGGCACCAGAGAAGTCTACTCTCGCAGGGGTAGTGGACTTCGGGAGAGTCTGTTTGACAAGGGACTTTACCCCGAACCGGAGAGACCAGCCGTGTCCGGGATGTATCGACGGGAAGTCGAAGACTGGATGTTTGAA